GGGGGAAAAGCATATTTGTACATTGTTGGTGGGACTGCAAATTGGTGCAGCCAATCCGGAAAGCAAAATGGAGATTCCTTAGAAAATTTGGAATGGAACCACCATTTGGCCCAGCTATCCCACTCCTTGGTTTATACCAAAAGGATTTAAAAACATCATACTATAGGGACACAGCCTCATCAATGTTTATAGCAGCACAATTCACAATAGCTAAATTTGGAACCAACCCAGATGCCCTTCAGTAGATGAATGGATACAGAAACTTTGGTATATTTACACTATGGAACATTACCCAGTCTTAAAAGGGCATCTGCAGGTTAAGTGGATGGAGTTGGAGAATATAATGCTAAGTGAAGTTAGCTAATCCCCAAAAGACCGAATGTTTTCTTTGAAATGAGGATGCTGACTCATAATGGCATTGGGGGAAGCATGGGAGGAATGGAGGAACTTTAGATAGGGCAAAGAGGTGGAAAGAGATTTGATGAACAGAATATTTCTTCTGCCATGTATTACCATGCATTTTATATTTGTACCCTCTCTTTGGGAGTTTTAAACTGTTGTTTTCCAAGTTATTTATATTGAGATCTATGCTTGCTTATTTCAAAGAGATAAATTCATCTCTAATAAGGGAATGGAATCAAGATGGGATACTGTCACTGTCCATGAGAGAATAAGTTATAAGAAAAAAAAAGGCCACAATACCTTTTGGTTGAAATAAAGATCACAAGTCAGCAAAATATTCTATGTTAACCTCTGAAGAGGGGAGTTTAAATCCTCTCGGACAAAGGAAAAAGAAAAAAACAAAAACAAAAACAAAAAACATGAGAGTGAAGCCAAAGTGGTATTTTTTTAAGGTATAGTTTTGAGTAGAAACTAAAGATTGAGATTATAATTTATATATGAATTTTTCAGTAGAAACTAAAGGGAAAATAATATTATTCTTCTCCATTGGTCTTTTGACTTTTGAGGTCATGAATGCAATTTCTGCCTTATCATTTCTATCAAAACAAAACAAAATTTAGGTCAAGCCTGGAGAATCTTACTTGTGATTCTGTCAAGTCTCAGTTACTGGTTTGCCCCAGAGAAATGCAGCCGCATGACATGTCAGGAGCTAGGAGCAGAAGAGCCCAGGAAGAGCAATAATTCACTTGGAGGACGTTGGAAGGTTTGGTTGCATATGTAAGATGTCAACTTCATTACTCTTGTTCAGAGGAGCTAACTGAAGATCCAACCTTGTGTTCTCTAACCATCTTTATTTTCATGTCCCCTCACCCTGAACGTTTGTGTGTATGTCTCTTCTCCATAAAATAGAACCACAAATTATTGAGTATCTGCTATGTACTAGGTGTTACATGACCTTATTCAATCCTCAAATGGAAAACAGATTTCATTAACCCCATTTTAAAACTGAAGAACCTGGAGGTCAGAGTAATTACACGTTTGGAGATGTGGTTCACTGACCATTGCTGGATATTTATAACGTCCCCTCTGAACACTTCTTTCATTTTCTTGCTCCCTTGAGAACTCTACTTCCTCTGTATCCCTTAGCACATCCTGTATATACAAGAGTCTGCAGCAGATTGCCATATAAAACACAGGGCACCCAGTTATATTTTAATTTCAGATAAGCATGAATTTTTCCTGATTGGAGCATTCTTATGCCAAAAAGTTATCTTAGATTCAAAAGTAATGGGGACTCCTAATTTTATTTGTGAAAAATGGTAATCCTATGGGAACAAAGTGGCGTTCTTATGCCTTCTTGTTCCCTCCACACTATTTCTTCCCCAGAACACCCAAAAACTTTGAAGTACTTATCTTCAGACCTTGTTATTTACTATTGCTTCTTACTGAAACTGTAATGCTTATGGGCACTTCTGCCAAATCAATGATTTTTTTTTTAAAAAAAACCTGGTTCACCTTATTCCTCTCAGTAACTATTTGCATTATAATTTTTATGATTCTATATCTACAGGATGACACTTGGACTCTTCTCATTTCTTTTACCTTCTCACTTCAAATACTTTTCTTTCTTTCCAATTCAGTAGGAAGGAGCATGTTGAGATTTCTTTACAGTGTTAAACCTGGTGGTCAGGGAGAACACACTGAGGTCCAGATGACACTGGAGCCATAGGAGAGGAATTAGTTAGTTTACACTATATAAGAGTCCAAAGGAGAAGAGAGCAAGTGCCAATGTCTTGAGGTAGAAGTCTTTGAGGCTACTTTCAGAAAGGTTTTTACTAATAGGAATTGTATCTTATACTTGGTGGTGTTACTGATTGTACTTAAAATATCTTGCCTATAGGAGTACTCATTGAATATGATATACATAGAAAAGCACAGTGAATTCTTGTTTAATAAATGGATGAGAGGGTGCATGTTAATGGAAGGTTATTAAACATATTTGAAAATCAATTCCTGTCAAGACTTTCCCATCAAATGACAGGATCTAGTATTCCAAATATGTAAAATGAAAGCCCAAATGAGATAAAGAGTTGATATTACATACAACTGAAAAAAGTGTATTTAGAGAGGTGTTGTGAGGGGCATAATGAAAGTTTTGTGTAGGCTTGATATGCAGAATAATTTCCAGAAGGTTTGTTCTTCTCATTTTATTTAGAAGTGCTTTTCAGCATTCTGTATCTAAAATAGCATGTTAATCTCATGTTTCTTCCACAGTGCACGTAGTCTTTCATGCACTTTTGATTCTTTTGTTTTCAATACATTAACAATCTTGAGGAGTGGATATAAAAAAAACAAACCACCAAATCTGATTTTTTAGTATTATCCAACAAAGCTTTATTGAGTGCCTGCAAATGAGAGAAACCTTGAGGTTGATATATTCTGGTGCCAAGAAAGAAGCTCGACACATATATTTAGTATATTTCTGTGGGGCAAATTCGTGTGAATGAACGAACCATAT